CCTTCCCTCCTCCTCCTCCTCCTCCTCCTCCTCCTCCTCCTCCTTCTCCCTTCCCTCACACTTCCTCCCCTCGCCCGCCGCCGAGGGCTGGTCGGGCCGCGGGACCGAGGCCACGCCAGCGGGAACAGCTGTCGGCTGCGCGATGCTCACTGCTGCACGCGGGCGCGCTCGCCCCGCGGGCTCGCAGGCCGAGGCGTGATTATGATCGCGTCGTAAAAAAAGCAGGACGGGAGGTTTTTGGCCGTTTTCGGCCTCGGGGGGCCCTTGCTGGGCCTCGGGACCATCAAAAAAACGATTCAGGACGAAAAACCGGTCCCAGGGCAAGGGTCGGGACTTCCAGGGACGCCGTCCTGAAACAATTAGGACTTCGCGTGTCTGGGCTGGTCCTAGAGGAAGAACAAAACCATATAAACACAAACTTTCGACGGTCCTCGCGGATTTCTTGGATTTGCGCTTGGGCCCCCTCCCTTGCGCGCGGAGCTCGCTAGGGGCGGCGCCGGAGGCGCCGCCAGGGGGCCCCAGCGCGTATCCGAGAAATCCGCGCGGAGCGCCGAAAGTTCCTCCGAAAGTTCCTCCTGGGCCCAGGGTTGGGCCTGGCCTGGCTCGGTGGAGGTGTGCAGTTGGCGACCTCCTCGCCTGCCGCAAGCTTGCAAGACCCGTTCTGAGCACTCCCAGAGATCTGGCGCTCGCGGGATGTCTGGGCTGGGCAGTTCCCACAAGGGTTTGTGCTCTGGGTGTCCTCTCGTCGTGTCGCTCACAATCCGAGTGGCTTTAATGCTGCATATTTGCTGAGGGGAGCTCCCTCGAAACCATGTGGCTCTTCGGAGACTTGCTCAGGGAGCTTGCTCGCAGCCCATTGGACTAGCAGCTAGGTCTAGGTGGTTCTTCGACAGGTGACTGGCGAATCCCGCTTGGATGACGTCAGCATGCAAGAGCCTGGCGGTAGAGGCTGCTTTGCGGTGGGAGGAGGCGACGGATCAGAGCGTCGAGTCAGAGATGGTAATAGCTAAGACCAGGATGGACTAAGATCAGGATGGATTGATGCGTTTTCGAATGAACTTGCACGCCTTCATTGTTCGGGCCGAGCCACGTGTGTGTGGCCATGTGTCCGAGGTCCTGTGCGTCTTGGGCTGGACCTTCCCGCGCGCGTACTCTTCGGTCGCGGGCTCTCTGCTTACAGCGGCGCGCGTCCGCAGGACACCGAGTACCTCCAGAAGTGGCTGCAGAAGTTCCCAGGACGGCGGCGGCGGCCACACCCCGGCAGACTCGTGTCGGGCGCTGCA